GACTGAGCTCTCAACTGTCCTTACTCATATTGACTCTAACATCATTCCTTTCATGGGCTTTGCAATCCCTTATGTAGCAGCTCTTCGCCATCTTCTGGTCTCCTCTTACCGTGCCTATCCCGACCGGTGTGTAAAATTTCATGCAAAGATGATCCTTGGAGATGATTGTTCCCAGGTCCTCCAATAGAGGTCGACCCAGTATGGCTTTGTGAACGCTTGGCAAACGCACCACCACCAAATCTGCTTCCATTATCTGCACACACGGCTCTGATTCGAGCTGAACCGTGACAGTAATCACCCCCTTCCGGCTCGATCACGTCACTGGTGAAGCCCGAGAGAGGGGTCTTCACCGGTTTCAGGGCTTCCTTTAGGAGGCCAATCTCTAGATATGTGTCCAAGTACATCACGTTCATTGAACTGCCATTGTCTATGACTCTATAAGGACCCTATGGACTATTGTATCCCTGACTTCGATCCTTTGGTATTTATAAAAAATAATGTCATTGAAACTTTAGCAACATAATGTCATTACTGCTTCCAATCAAGAGTAAGGGCAGGTTTGAATACTCTCATTCAATAGTTTTCGAAAACCTTGTTTTTATGCTCCTATATCACACGGGGATGAAAAATATGGTATGTTCGTGTATTTGTTTCTATGAAAGTTGAGTTTCTGGTGGTTTTATGTAATAATAAAAGCTCATCTTGCGATTTGATGGATGGGGATATATATAAGTTGGCTTCTATCTCGTCTTGTAGATATATGAAATTTTTAAGTGATGTCTAGAGTCGTTTAGATGATGCCATTTTTTCGTCTTTTAAAATATCAATAACTCATTAAATAAAGCGGTTACCCGCGGTTATACCCGTTACCCGTTGGGGTAGTTATGATTTGAATAAAAAATTATCTATTGGGTAATGGGCGGTTACGAGGCGTGGAATTGAAAACACTTAACGGGGCGGGTACAATTATATGTATAACCGTCTCTGATCCGCTCATTGCCATCTCTAAATAGAAATGAGAAAATAAAAATATACCGGGGACATGACTCACCTGGTATGAAGAGAGTGCGACAAGGGAGAGGTCCTGGATTCAACTCCAAACAATAACTTGGCTGGGATGGAGTCCCACTCCATTAGAGTATGATCAAAGCTCAACTTACATCCTCCCAGATAAATGTCTGGTTGGTTCCCCCACCCCACCCAGGGATGAGGTGTGATCATATTTTTAGAAGAGATAAATATTAGATGTAGAATCCAAATTCAAATCTAGTAATTGCTCGAAACATGAGTAAAATATAATAAGAGCATCTCCAGCAGTTAGCTAATTGTCATCATAGCTTAACTAGCCACATAAGCATTTGCAGCAAAATTAGAATATACTCCAGTGGTTAGCTATAACATCTTACTCTTCATTTATGAATAATAGTGTTATATTTAGTAATTCTCTTCACTCAAACTAGTGGCTCATTTTGTCTAATTAGCTTTCTCAAACAAAAAGGAAATCAATGCTCCAATAATAAGCTATTAACTTTAAAATTGCAAGCAAGTTTTCAAAAGGAACCATTGAAGATGCTCTAAGAAAGTTTTAGAATAGAACTTATGCTTTTTTCTTTCAAAGTAGGACTTATTTGGTACTTTTAAAAGAATAAAAAATTACATAAATTTGAGAAAAGTTGCTATCTTTTACTCATATTTAGGGAATTTATATTTCATAGTTATCAATTTGATGTAAATGCATATTAGACAAAACTTAAAACCAACACAATGTAAATTGTAGTACTATTTTCGTCCCTTTTATGTGTCCTTCCACTTTGGCACAATTATTAAAAAAGTGGTTGAAAAGGTAAAAGTTGTGGTTGAGATTTGAGTATAATAAAGTGAAATGTTGTGGATCACATATTTTTTTCCTAAAAGGGAAATATAACACTTATTTTGGAATATCTCAAAAAGGAAAGTAAGACAAGTAAAATGGGCCGGAGGGAGTAATATAAATACTCCGTACGTATGTTTTATACGTTTGTGTAGTGTTCTTAATTATTGAGGAATGTTGACTACTATAGCTTTTTGAGATTTTGACGGAAAGATTTTTAACGGATAGTAATTTTTAAGGGCATATGTGTTCCAAAGCTTATAGTAGAGGGGCATATCTATTACTTTCCCCTACTTTACCCCAATCCCTCTCTGGAGTTCCTATTTATGCCACTGTCTATCCGCCATAATCTCCTTAATCCCAGAGTTGTAGTCACATCGAATTTATGCAACTGTCAGACTATGTTTGAATCGCACTAGGATTCTAAGGCAAAAATTCCTTTTATATACGTTCTTAAAAATTGGCTTGTTTTGTCAATAGAATTTTCCACAGACGAAACAAGCCGGTTTTGTCTATGAAATGGGATTCACATACAAAAAACATCACACAGACACAGAGGTGTATATAAGAACAAAGAATTTTCCTAAAGGGGATGACTTCGATTTCATTGAAACCCAACATAAACATAAGCACTTTCGCCGAAACGAATTCCCAATAAGCAGTTTCATGGGATTTTTTTTTTCCCAATAAGACTAGTCTAGAAAAACAAGAGCGTCTCCAACGCGGCTATCGCCCTCTTCTCTCATTGTTGAGGAAAATTTATGGTGTCCAATCCTGATAAATATTTTTGTATTTGTGTAGCTATTTTGTCTAGGTATTTTATCCCATTAGGATCTTTGTTAGCTATTATTAGATTAGCTTTATTAGGAAATGTGTAAAGTGTGTTATTGGGCCCAATCAATAAAAGAGCCCAATCATGCTTATGTCACATCACACATTCCCTAGGCATATAAATACTGCCTTTAAGGGAATGTGCAGTAAGCCTTTTACAGAATATTCATGCACATTAGCGCATAGTAAGAGAGAGAGAGCCGAGTTCCTTTCTCGATACCCTGTTCTGTACATTTCAAGATCATTGTTTGGTATTGAATCGGATCATCGTTTCTTATCTACTGTATCTATCCTATCATATATTGTTAGTTTGATTGTTGATAAAGGGACAAACACTCATTTTTTTGGGTTTTGCCACGCAAGTTATACCGTCAGTGGTGTGCTTTTTTATTGGTGACAACTCCGGTACCCTTCTAAAAAATGGGGTACCATGCCTACCATTCATTTGATTAGACCACATCACTTTATTATTTTTAATTTAGATTTAAATAATTCAACTGCTACATTTCCATTGGTTCATGTGGACAAATGTATGGTACCTTATGGGTACCATAGAATCTACCTTTTTTATTTTATAAAAAAAATTACTTCCATTTAGAATTGGGGTTGTGGATAGTTAAAAGGGGGCCTCAAATAGAATTTGAGGGCCTCCTCAGTTTGTTCGCCAATTCTAAAACTTAAACATGGTTCAAAGAGGCAAAAGAAATTGGAAGCGTATGTACAAAAAAGTATGGACATTCTTCTGCGAAAAAGAGGGCAGAAGCCTCCGGAATGACAATACAATTACAATGTTTTTACTTGGACTGTTTTCAGTCCCAGACCAGACTTAAACAAAACACTTTCATAATTATAAAATAGATAGAAACCAGACATTTATCAGACTAGATTAGACAAATACAGACCAGACTTAAACAGATTAGATCAGACCAAACCAGCAAACTTCAGTCCAAATAAAAACGTCCTTATTCTGGATTTCAAGTTGCAAAATTTTGGAGGCTAAAGGGTCAAATAGGCCCCTGTATCGGTCATGTAAGCTCAATTAACTTTCTGAGCTAAAAAAGGTCCAATTTGCACCCTGAACCGACAAAAAAGGGGTTCAAATTTCATTTTTTTACAGGTAAACAACCGGTAGAAAAGGTCCGATTCACACCCTTAAACTATTAAAAAGTGCCAAAATTGCAATAAATTGAAAATAAAAAACAGAAAACAACAAAAAAAATTAAAAAAAAATGACCAGTTGCTTACCCGTAAAAAAATGAAATTTGACCATTTTTTGTCGGTTCGGGGTGCAAATTGGATCTTTTTTTAGTCCAAGGACTGAATTGAGTTTACACGACCGGTACAGGGGCCTATTTGACCCTTTAGCCAAATTTTGGAGGAAGGACCCGTTTATTGCTCTACAAATCGGGTTTGATTCATACGTGACTTATTCTAGACATCATACGAAATTGCCATATTTTTATCTAGAATAGATCCTCAATTTTAATTGACAAACTTAATTGCAATAACCAAAATTTAGTGATAGAATCATAGGGGATGTTTGACAATTGGCTGTTGGCTGTTGGCTGTTAGCTGTTGGTTAATTCTGTTGGCTGATTAGTGACAGCTGATTCTGTTGGCCGTTTTGATTAGCTAATAGTGTTAGCTGTTTATAAAACAGTTTTTGCTAAAACGGTTGTTTATAATCGGCTAATAACTTATTAAATTACTTTTAAGGATACCATTTAATTTTTTTGTTAATATTATAAGTAAAATTACCTAAAAATTATTTTATGATTAAAAAATAAAAATTAATGAAAACAAGTAATAATTATTTTAACATTTTTTCATGTATTAATAATTTAATTAGTATGAGGATATTTTGTTCAATAAATGGAGTTATTAGTAAAAATATACCAAGTCAAATTACTCAGCCCCAAATTACTCACACAATTTAGAGGCTTAGAGCCCCTTTGGTGAGGCCTAAATTAATTGCTGAATTGTCTATAAAAATAAAAATAAAATAAAAAAGATGAAATAAATTATAGAAACGTATCTTGAACATCTAAAAATAGATGGAACATTCATGTGCAATCACCCAGACTCCGATGAGCAAAGCCTTGGCAGATCAAAGCAACTAAATAGGTACATGTCGTACGTCAAACCACGGGTGATGTCGTGTGTGTAACAATGCAAATCAAAATAGCAATGGAATCGGTATAGGTTTGTGTTATGAACTTCAATGAGAAGGATGAAGGTTCATAACAAGAACGCTAATGAAAGTGTTTGAGAGGATAATTGCAGAGTAAAGAGAAGAAAAGAACAAGAATTGGTTTATTCATTAGCTGCCCTCCATTGGATACAGTTTGCTTATTTATTTACACAGATCAAGTTTAGCTAGTTAGTTAGTAAAATGATGACATGGCACTCTAATCAGTTATAATACCAGACTAACTAACTAAAGAATTAAAATAGCAGCTAAATATTTGTAATACAGACGACTTGATCTTAGCATTTCCCTCTCCTTCATTTGAAGCTTGTCCACAAGCTTCAATTCCAGGAAATTGTTTCTTTATCACATTATAATCCTCCCATGTTGCTTCATCTGGCTGTAAGTGCTCCCATTTGATTAAGAGTTGTACAACAGCTGCATTGTTCCTCTTGACTATCCTTCTAGCCAATATTTCAGATGGTACCGACAATGTATTTCCTTCTTTAGTCATTGGAGGTATAGTAGGAGTAGTTCTATCAGCCAGTCCCACTTGTTTTTAAGTAAAGATACATGAAAAACAGGATGTATCTTACTATCTTTGGGTAAATCTAATCTATACGCTACAGGTCCCACCTTTTCAACAAGTGGAAAAGGTCCACAAAATTTATGACTCAATTTCCATAGAGTTGACCTCCTCATACTCCATTGTCTGTAAGGTTGAAGCTTAAGATATATCTAATCTCCTACTGTCAATTCCCTCTCACTTCTGTGTTTATCAGCCAGCTCTTTCATCCTTTGTTTGGAGATGGTTGGTTGCTGCTTTAATTTCTGAGAAATTAGTTGCCTCTGTTCAAGTTCATGCTCCACTCCTACCACAGATTATTCTCCATAGGGCCCTGTATTTAGTGTAGGAGGTTTATAACCAAACAAAGCTTCAAAAGGACTCATTCCCATAGTTGTGTGATAGCAACTGTTATACCACCACTGAGCCAAACAGAGCCATTTACTCCAATCTTTATGAATCTTCCCACTGATACACCTCAAATAACTTTCCAAGAACTGATTTACCCTTTCAGTTTGCCCATCTGTTTGTGGGTGGTAAGCTGTACTGAGGTGATGTTGTACCCCCAAAGACTTGAACAGTTCCTTCCAGAACAAACTAGTGAATATCTTGTCCCTATCAGATATGATAGATTCAGGTATTCCATGAAATTTGCAAATGTTATCCAAGAATGCTGAGGCCACAGTTGCTGCAGTAAATGGGTGTTTGAGGGGAACAAAGTGAGCAAACCTAGTATATCTGTCAACTATTACAAATATGGAATCATATCCATTAGACTTGGGTAACTTTTCAATGAAATCCATAGTAATATGCTGCCAAGCATGCTGTGGTATTGATAAGGGCTGCAACGACCCGGGATATTTGATGGTTTCATGCTTGCACAACTGGAAGATGTGACACGTACTCACCACTCTATGTACTGTCAACTTCAAATTGGGCCACCAAAACAGATTTCTCACCCTATGTAGGGTAGCTAGTTCTCCAGAATGTCCACCAGCAGCACTTCCATGTATCATAGAGACTAATTTGTCCCTTAAATCCCCATTTATCCCTACATATAGTTTATTCTTGTGCCTCAATACTCCATCGTGATAAGAAAAATAACTCATATTATAGGGGGTAGTTACCAACTGTAAACTAGCTTCTTCAGCCTCAACATCTCCTACATAGCTCTGAATCAACTCTTCTTGCCAAATTGGTTTGACTACAGATATAACATAACAATTTTCTGCTACTTTATCATCTTGTTGGTTCCTCCTTGATAAGGCATCTGCTACCTTATTTTCTGGACCTTTTTTGTACTCAAACTTGTAATCAAAGCCCAGAAGTTTGGTAAGATATTTATGCTCGATAGGAGTAGAAATTATCTGGTCAACAAGGTATTTGAGGCTGATTTGATCTATCCGAATAATGAAAGGAGCACGTAACAAGTAAGCTCTCAATTTTTCAATGGCTAGAAGTATAACAAGAAACTCTTTCTCATATATGGATAATCCCATATTCTTTGGTCCCAGAGCTTTGCTAATATAGGCCAGAGGGTGGCGTTCTTGCATCAGAACAGCTCCAAGTCCATTATAGCAAGCATCAGTCTCTACTATGAAAATTCTGTTGAAATCTGGTAGTTGTAGTATAGGTACTGTGCACATTGCTTCCTTGAGCCCCTCAAATGCTTGTTAAGCCTCTTCACTCCACTTGAACATACCTTTCTTTGTTAAGTCAGTTAAAGGTTTAGCTATAACTCCATATCTTGAGCAAAACTTCCTGAAATACCCAATCATGCCTAGAAACCCCCTTAATGTTCTTAGTAAAGTAGGAATTGGCCACTCCATAATACTTTTAATTTTGTTAGAATCCACAGCCACACCTTTTGCACTGATAACATGACCCAAGTACTCTACTTTGTGGAACTCCAAAGATGCATTTGGACCTCTTGGCATATAGTTTGTGTTGTTGTAGTGATAGGTGCACTTTCCTCGAATGTGCTTTATGAGTTTCCTGATCTGGGCTATATATGAGAATGTCATAAAAAAAGACAAACACAAACTGCCTCAAGTAATCATTGAATACACTATTCATAAGAGTTTGGAATGTAGCAGGAGCATTTGTTAGCCCAAAAGGCATAACAGTGAATTCATAGAGTCCACTTGCAGTTGTGAAGGTAATCTTCTCAATGTCATCAGATTTCATCCTAACTTGATGATATCCAGCTCTTAGGTCTATTTTTGAAAAAATTGTTGCCCCGTGTAATTCATCCAATAAGTCATCTATTAGAGGAATAGGGTAATTATTCTTAATAGTGACTGAATTTAGCTTCCTGTAATCTACACAAAATCTCCAAGATCCATTTTTCTTCTTAACCAGTAGTACATGACTTGAGTAGGGGCTTTAAGTGTGCTGTATAACTCCAGATTTTAGCATTTCTTTAACCAGTTTCTCTATCTCTTGTCTCTGCAGGTATGGGTATCAGTATGGAGCTTGCTTGAATGGGTTTTCTCATGACTTAATATCAATCTTATGTTCACAGTTTCTTGAAGGTGGCAACTCTTTTGGTTCCTCAAAAACCTCTTCGAACTCATTCAATATCTATTCTAACTCCCCCTCCGTAGAACTCTTTGATTCTTCTTTTACAGTAGTCACCATACATAGATATTTGGATACAATACCGTTTCTTTTGTTCAGCATCTTATTCGTTTTCCTCCCAGATATCATTTTGATAGAAATTTCTGATTGTATACCCTGTACTATCACCTTTTCCCCTTCATGATCATAGCCTCCTAGAGGCAGTACTCTCACACTGGCTGAAAAGATATGCCCAGCCATCTCCCATTCCAAATTTGGGCATTTAGAGTTGCATTCTATTCTTCCCCCTCCTGCCACAGTGCCTTATAAAGGATTAGTTAATTCAATATCACAATTAATCTTCTTGACTGCTCCTAGATCTATGAAGTTGTGTGTGCTTCCAGAATCCACTAGTATAGTCAATTGGTTTTTTTTTTCATTCCCCATTAACTTGATGGTCTCAGTGGGTAAGTGTCCTTTTAGGGCATGTAAAGATCCTCCAAAATCTCTCTCCTCATCATTGTCTCAATTATTTATTGGTTCATTGGAGTTCTTGTTCTCTTCAGCTAACAGTATCACAAATATCTTCTTGCACTTATGTCCCAGTGTATATACTTCATCACAATTGAAACATAGTCCTTTTTCCTTCTTGCATCTAGCTCTTCTTTGCTTAGACGTTTCATAGGCATAGTTTTTCCTATGTATATAACTTCCTTGTTTTCATATCCTGTTCTTGCACCATAGTTTTTTAACTGTGTTTTCCCAGTTCTTCCCACAGCATCTAATAGCGCTTCTTGTTTCTTGGCAACCAGAAAAGCTTGAGCTAAAGTTTCAGGTGAAACAATCTTTACCATATGCCTGATTTCTTCTTTTAACCTACTGAGAAAACTTTTCAGAAAATAGTACTCATCAAGGTGTTTATTTCTCCGTAGCATGAAAGATTTAAGCTCAGAAAACTTGTCTATGTATTCTTCAACCAATCCTTTCTGTCTCAATTTATTAAACTCTCCAATAATATCATTTTCTTTCGAAAAGTTTTCCAGAAAGATAGTTACGAACACATCCCAGCCCATGGATTCTCTGTCAACAACTTCATCCATGTATCAGACCCCCACTTTCCCTTCCACATACATTCCGACTAATGCTATTTTATCGAAATCAGACATTTGATGAATCAGAAAATAACGCTGACATTTTCGAATCCATCCTTTAGCATTAGCTCCATCAAAATGAGGAAAATCAAGTTTAACTCCTCTATGACTACCAGGTGTAGAGATTAAACCTTGATCTGGATTTCGAATGAAACGATCAACATGAGTAAAAGGAGAAGAATTGTTGTTGATACCTTTAACTGCTGCTAATATATCTTCGAATCTTTTCTCGTGTGTTTCCATCAACCTGGCTAGGTCAGCTTTCTGTGTTTCGTTCATTTTTTCAATTTCTGCCCTCACACTTGCCAGCTCCGTTTCCAATTGAGTGATGCGGTCGGTGTTACTTTGCTTCGCCATCGGTGAAATCTTTTTCTGGATCTCTGATACCAATTGTTATGAACTTCAATGAGAAGGATGAAGGTTCATAACAAGAACACTAATGAAAGTGTTTGAGAGGATAATTGCAGAGTAAAGAGAAGAAAAGAACAAGAATCGGTTTATTCATTAGCTGCCCTTCATCGGATACAGTTTGCTTATTTATTTACACAGATCAAGTTTAGCTAGTTAGTTGGTAAAATGATGACATGGCACTCTAATCAGTTATAATACCAAACTAACTAACTAAAGAATTAAAATAGCAGCTAAGTATTTGTAATACAGACGACTTGATCTTAACAATTTGTTATTTTTAAAGGCTTGAATTCTTCTTAATATGAAGAAGTATTTGGGAGCAAAAACGATAAGAGAAGCAATTGATGCTAGTAACTGGAAAGCTTTCTTTGTGAAATTCTGAATATTTGTGATGTCTCATTAATCCATTTATATTAAATCTCAAGTGTTACAATCACCCCCACTTAGGATCACAACATCTTCATTGCACCCTTAAACCAATCTCAATCAAACCTCAGAATCTTGCCCCGCTAAGTGCCCGCCTGATATCGAACGGATCAACACACTGTCGCAGGGTTGCTCTGATACCACCTGTAACACCCCGGCCCCGCAAGACCCGAGGTAGTTACTCTAGACCTCTAGTACTGTCCTCACAAACCGACACTAGCCATTACCGCGCGCTTTTTCCTCACTCATGCGCGCCCTGAGAAACTTCCCAGGGGGTCACCCATTCCAAGACTACTCCCGTGCAAACACGCTTAACTTTGGAGTTATTGGGTGATGAGATCCCTTAAAAGGAGATTCATCTTGTTGGTATGAGTAGTACTATTAATCCATTTATATTAAATCTCAAGTGTCACAAAACATTTGTATAGAACCTTCATTAAATACCCCCAGCTCGCCAAGTAATCTTTTCACCCACATTCCTTCACATATGCCAAGAGCTAGCGCTCTTAATTCTGCTTCAGTCGAACTTCTTGAAACAACTGATTGTTTCTTACTTCTCCATGTTACTAAATTTTCCTAAACATAAGAACAATTACCAAAAGTACTCCTTCTATCAGTTACATCTCCTGCCCAATCTGCGTCCGTGTAGACTCTAATTTCTTTATTGTCATTCTTCCTAAAAAGAAGACATTTTCCTGGAGTCATTTTGAGGTATCTAAGGATTCTTATAACAGCTTCCATGTGTTCCTCAGTTGGATTATTCATGTATTGACTCACCACACTTACAGGGAAACCAATATCAGGTCTAGTATGGGATAAATAAATAAGCCATCCAACAAGCCTTTGATATCTCCCCCTATTCACATGTGCTCTACCTGTCTTTGAGCCAATCTTTCTGTTAGAATCCATTGGAATTGAGGATGGTTTACACCTAAGCATCCCTGTTTACTTGAGTAAGTCTAGAACATACTTTCTTTGAGAAACAAAAATACCACGCCTTGATCGTGCAATTTCCATGCCTAGGAAATATCTAAGATAACCGAGATCTTTAATCTCAAATTCCTTTGATAAAAAACTTTTTAAGTTTTCCAGCTCTTCCTTGAAATCTCCTGTAAGTATTATATCATCAACATAAACTATTAGGACAGCTATCCTTTTATCTTGTGAGTGTTTCACAAACAACGTGTGATATGCCTGACACCGAATATAGCCATTTTTAATGACTGATTTAGTAAACTTTCCAAACAACGTGTGATCTGCATACTTTATTTTTGTTGGATGAACACTCAAAGCTTGGTGGAATATCCATGTACACTACTTCTTCCAGGTCACCATTCAAGAAAGCATTCTTCACATCTAGTTGGTGCAATGGTCAGTCTCTATTTGCAGCAACGGAAAGTAGAACACGAATAGTATTAAGTTTAGCAACCGGAGCAAAAGTCTTTTGATAATCAATCCCGTAAGACTGAATAAACCCCTTAGCAACAAGGCGAGCTTTAAACCTCTCAATGCTACCATCTACCTTATGTTTAATGGTGAATACCCACTTGCATCCCACCGGTCTCTTTCTAGATGGTAAATATGTTATGTGCCAAGTTCCATTCTTCACCAAAGCATTGATTTCATCTTGTACAGCCTTTTTCCAACCCGTATCAATCAGTGCTTCTTAAATTGTGTGGGGAATCTGTACACTATCAAGAGCTGAAACAAATGCTTGATAGGACGGAGATAATGTTTAATAGGACACAAAATTGCCAATGGGATGTTTAGTGCAAGCACGAACTCCCTTTCTCAAAGCAATAGGCAGATCATCATTTATATCAGTAACACTATCATGACAAGGATTACTAATACCCGAATGCATTTCTGGAGGATGTGAATCCAGTTCCAATTCATGGAAGTCCTGTAGATGTGTCTGTTCTTTGTCAGGGTTCTCCCTTCTTTGATAAACACGAAGTTCTTTCGGTTCAGGATGAGAATTAACGATAGGTAACGATTCAGACGTGTTTTCAGTGCCTTGAGATGAACTAGATGAATTAAATGGAACTTGATTTTTTATGACATCTTGACATTCGTGGACTGGGTTCATAGGTTGTGGACTGGTGAGTTCAAGAGAAGGTGCAATAGATGAGATTTCCTTTATAGGAGTATGACTGTTTGGAATAGTTATTCCCCAAAGGTGAGATTCACTTGCATTCTCCCCCCGAATCTCAGATTTGTAGTAAGCTTGAGATTCGAAAAAGGTGACATCCATAGAGTTATAGGTTTTTCGTGTAGTAGGACATTAACACTTATAACCCTTTTGATTAGATGAATAACCTATGAAGATGCATTTGATAGATTTAGGATCTAACTTACTACGATGTTGTGAATGAATATGGACAAAAACAGTGCAACCAAAGACCTTAGGATCAACAAAGCTAATGAACCTTGTATGAGGGAATCTTTCCAAAAGAGTTTGACACAGAGTTTTAAATTTCAGCACTTTAGATGGCATCCGATTAATGAGATAGGCAGCGGTGAGAACTGCATCCCCTCAGAAAACTTTAGGAACATGAGTCCCAAACATGAGAGATCGAGCTACTTCAAGAAGATGCTATGTAGCACGGAAACTCTAGGGAAAGAGTACGTTTCCGGTTTCGGAAACTCCCGGAAACTGTTCGGAAACTCTCTAAATAAGCCTTTTTTGAGCAAAAGTTGACGTTTCCTGTTTTTCGTTTCCTCGTGATTTTCGCGTTTTCGTGAAACATAGAGAAGATGTCGATTTTTTCGTTCAGCGATTCCGTTTTGTTGAGGGTGTCAATACAAGAACTTAAATGGATGATGCCATGTTCTACCAAATAGGTACCAAGAATAGAATTAATAAATTCTTTGGCACTGTCAGTTTTGAGTACTTGAATCGTAGTGTGAAACTAAGTTTGAATCATAGAATGGAAGCGCTGAAAAATTTCTCTCACTTCTGACTTATTTTGCATAAGAAAAACCCAAGTTAATCTTGTATGATCGTCTATAAAAGATTAGGGGTGGTTCGGTACGGTATACCGAATATTTTAGCTCATACCTTTACCATACCGTAAATTTTCGGTATGCAAAAATACATACTGTTACCATACCGAAATTTCGGTATACCTTGTTTAAGTATACCAAAATTTCGGTACGGTAAGGTACGGTATCGGTAAATTATCATGATTTAACATAACAAATTATTATATGTCAAATAAAATATAGAAAATATGTGTTAATAATGATATACTAAAATCATTAATGAAATTAATTGTAAATTACCAATGATAACCTATTGGTGTTCTATTCAACTTTGAACAAAAAATATTATAAATATATTTAGATATTTCGACACATAATATATGAAGATAACATCACATTCTGCTAAAATAATTTAAACAACATAAATATAATTAAAAAAAACACCGCTTGCCAACAAAAAGTATAAATAATTCAAGAAACGTGGATATAAAGTCATTTATCCTTGAATTAATGTTGTGTTTCTAGTTATTTTTAAAATTTTAAAGAAATTATTGGCTTGGAATTACGGTATGACGGTATACCGGTATACCGTTTATTTTCAAAATATATACCGATACCATACCGAAGTAATTCGGTACGGTATCATACTGTACCGAAAGTGTCGGCCGTATACCAACCATTTCGGTAAATTCGGTATTTTTCAATTTGGTAAGTCCGGTATACCAAAATTTTGGTATTTTCCCCCACCCCTATAAAAGATACAAACCATCTCTTTCCTGTTATAGTGTTTATGCGTGAAGGTCCCCACACATCACTATGAATCATTGAAAACGGTTTGGATGGTTTATATGTTAATCTAGAATGACTAGTCCGAGTGTGTTTAGCAAACTGACAAGTCTCACAACAAAAAGAACTTGGATTTTTATTCAAGAATAAAGAAGTAAACAGTTTTGACAAATACACAAAATTTGGATGACCAGGACGATAGTGCCATAACATGATATCACTATCTTTATTAGACAAAAAAACTGATTGACTATTCAAAGAAAGTAAATTGAACTTCTGGTTTATGCTAGTGGATGAGACTTCATCACGTAGAACATATAGTCCGGAACACATCTTAGCATTGCCAATCCTCTTCCCCGAGTCCAAATCCTGAAATACACAAAGATTTGAGAAAAAAATTGTCACACAATGATGTTCACTCGTAAATTTACTGATTGAAAGTAAATTACAGTCTAATTTAGGCACATAAAGCACATATTTGAGAGTTACGTCATATGTTATTCTGACTAAACTCGAACCCTCAACTTGAGAAAGTGAGCCATCTGCAATTTTGACTGTATGATTTCCTTTGTTCGGGTGAAACTCAGAAAAAATAGATGCATCTCCAGTCATGTGATCTGAAGCTCCGAAGTCTAGAATCCAAGATTTGTTAGTGCATCTATTGACAAAACAATCAACTGATTTATTACCTCCCATAGCCAACATTCCAGTATCTTGCGTAGATGTCAGTTGAGTAAAGGATTGATTCAAAAGTTTCTGAAGAACCTCTAGTTGAGCTTTAGTGAATGGAGCTAATTCAGGCACATCATTTAACTCTCTAATCGTTGAATTCAACGTGGCAGCCACATTTCCGTGACTAAAACGATCACCCCCGCCTTTGGTTTCCAATTTTGAGGATTCCCGTG